AAATAGAATTCTACTATATAAGTAGAGCTTTATTTTTCTAATATATAAATAGAATTCTACTATATAAGTAGAGCTTTATCTTTCTACTGTACAAGCAGAATTCAACTATATAAGTAGGGTTTTATTTTTCTAATATATAAATAGAATTCTACTGTATAAGTAGAGCTTTATTTTTCTACTATATAAATAGAATTCTACTATATATGTAGAGCTTTCTTTTCTATTGTATAATTAAAATTCTACTATATAAATAGAATTTTACTATATAAGTAGAACTGTATCTTTCTACTGTACAATCATAATTCAACTATATAAATACTTTACTTCCCTACATTATCATTCTTATTCAAAGTAAACGTAGAGGCGGAATAAAACTCGAATTCTTTCCCTCTACCGCGGAATTATCGACGGCAAGGTATCTTCCAAGCACAGTTGTGAAAGGAATCACATGACAAGGAGTTAAAAGCGACGTTTACTCACCACATTGACGAAATCCTGGAACGTCACCGCTTGAACACGCGACTCCTTTGCCCTGGTGAGGAGAATATCTCGTTTATTCGCCGGTATCTCGGCTTTCCATTCAGGACTTTTCAGAGCCGCCAAAAAATCTTCCACTGGTATCTCGCCAAAACCCTCCGGATCAAACTGGGGAAGAGAAATCAGTCAAGCTCCGGGCGTGCATCGCGTGGAACGGATTTAAATCGGGGGTAAGAATACGTTCAAGTACCTTATCGAACAGCATTCGCCATTTCTGCAAGCAGAGGAAATAAGATAAGTGTGGGCGCCTGTTAAAAATCGTCGTATTTGTTTCATTGAAATATTCTGCTCAAAGTTAATCTGGAACTCCGTAGAATTTCTATGAACTGGAGCAAAATATTTCCAAAGTAAAGTCGAGAGACGATTAAATAGAAACTAACCGCTTCCCTTAAGAATCTTAGCAGATTAGGAATAAAATAATAAAGAAACTATTTTCACAGTGTTTATTAAAACTATTGAATTATATAATTATCGAATTATAAAAACGTTGATTTATTTTCACTTCATTTCAATTTCAAACGATACTGAAAGAAACCGGTAAAGAAACGAGCAGAAGGGTTAATTTCCATTGAGTCGTGCGGAAAGAAATTTGAAAAGGGGGTTGCTTACGTCGTTGAGAAGCTCCCGCCTGTACTCGGACTCGTCGATATCGATTTCGGACGCGAGATCCGTATGATCGGTAACGTAGCCATCGTAGTGAGCGCTGTTCGCCTCGCTGCGCGCGTATTCTTCCTCCTCCTCGACGGTACCGGCGATGGTCGGTATCGAAGCACCGCTTGCCAGTAGCATTACCGCGCGTGGCACGAGGTCACCGGGCGAATCTCCTCATTCTACCCTCTCTCGTCCGTTTCCTAAAACACCAGAACACGCTACCGTCGGCTGCCGATCGTAAAACACCGACGCGGGGCCCGGGGCAATATCGAACTTGAATTTCTGCTCGACAGGGGCAGTGGTTCTCGATCTGTTCTCAAGATTGAAAAGTCGTTTCCTTAGAAACCACCTCCGTGTCGGCGAAATTCGTTTCTGATTGACGCGCTCGCTATTATTCGACCCTTTGCATTGCTAAAAATAGCTGTACTACTTAGGCACACTGTATTTGCGTGTTTGATTAACGGAGATTTAATATTTGAAAAGAAAATTGCAAAGACTTCCTGCGAAGACTGAAACTGTATACGTTTAGTTTGAGCTTTTCGAACGCAAAGGGTTGAAATTTGTAGTGGAATAATTAATAATTCTTCTTGTAGTGTTCGTTTTCTAATGTCTTTATTGTGCTGAGAGTTTTAAATGTAATAGGTTTCGTTGTTTAGAAAGTGAACGATGTTCGGTGCATCCTCGTAGCTTCTTTTTATTGTGTCACAACTGAATAGACGAGTCTCTCTCGAAAAGACTAGAATAACTTGCGTTTACCCCTCGGGTTCCCGATCCGCTCTCGAGCCACCCTCACGGCTGAGTTCGCGATAGATCGATGGCCTTGAAAATGTCTGTACTTTACGCGGCACTTCTGCGAACTATGCAGTATAATACGTTGGTGCGACGGTGCCGTTTCCATGGCAATGCATCGTCGATAGGTCTGGGTACAGGCCAGTCATCCAGTATACACAGCTATTGTGCACGAGGAGCATCCGAACTTCATCCCTTCCGTACGATAAAACCTAATTTAACCTTGTTTGCCCGACTCGAATTGCGTTCCGTTGTAAATTACACGATAAATTGCCGCGCGGGGCAACTCGAAAAATTAAGTCCACGGGAAGCTCGCTGGAAGCTCGTTGGAAATGCGCTTCAAATAAAATTACTAGGTGTACGTGTAACAATTCCCTTCGTCGCGGAATTAAGTGCACAAGTCGCTGTGCAAACGAGATTACCTTTTAAGAAACGGTGCACGCGCTTAGCTCCGAACGAAAAGAATCTCCTCGCAACACGTTTTATCAGCGAACTGTCCATTATTAATGCATAAAGTCGCTTCTACTCCCTTTAACTAAAGACCGTCCGATCTCTCGCGAAATATCGCGTTCGTTTCAAAACGATCTTCGCCCCGAGCACAATATCCCTGACTAATAGAGTTGAGAGACACTGTCACGTGGCCACAGAAGCCGGTCACGTGCTAATAAGTGGTTCTGGGGAGAAGGGAAGTGTGCATTGTCTTCGGGCACGCTGAAAAGCGTCCGGTAATGGCATTACTGGGTTCACGGGATGATAATGTGATTTATTTCAAACTGTAATCCGCTTTCTTTTCCAATTCCGCGTCCGATAAACGCTAAGCGAAAAGGACGAGCTGATAGCTGCTACGTCGGTCTAGGAAACCCATAACCGCGATGCAACCGAGGCATCCACGCGCCACCCCTGCCTGCAGTCACTTTCCCTTTCCCTTCCCCACGGGCTTCTTTACATCGCCGTCCATTCGTTACCTCCCCGTTTCGGCGCAACGTCACCGAAACTCACCCCCTCGTGGCGTCGTCCCTCGGCGAGCCACACAAACTCATCCCCTATCCGTGACGCACGCCTCCGCTTCGTTTATCTATCCTCGTACCGCGCCATCTTCCAAGCACAATTACGTCTCGTGCCAACAGACCCTCAGGTCGACGACCTTGAAGAATATCCGACGACGTGTCGTCGTGGACGGTGCACGGTGTCTCCTTACCGCTGGCTTGAATTACCCTGCACCCTTATCACGAGACGCGCGACCTACCCCGTGTCTAGCTTTCGTCTGGAGCTGCGATGATCGATCAGAGCTACGACGACAGCGGATATTTTAATGCGTACGTGAGTATTTTTGCGTTCTATGCAACGTTACTTCTCCTTTTGTAGCAATGGTAAATTTTATTTGATACCGTTCGTTGTCGGATGGGTGATTTCGTTTGTATCATTTCGTTTTCCAATTGGTTTCGCTGTTTATTAAGGTACACTTCAAATGCAATGGAAATAGAAATGTAGGCAATCTTAAAGGCTTCTCTAACCATGAGTGCATTCGTAATTAGCAGGGAATGGGTTAAATGAAAGCTTTACGTTGGAACGATGCATAGAACTATGCTCTATCGATTGATCAACGACAGCGTTGTAAATGGATGATCCGACAGCTTGGAGACGTTTCGCAGGAATGATCGTGAGGTTTTCTAGTCGTGCCTCTGCAGCGATTGCTGCTCCTTCCATCGCGATTCGTGCACAAAGCTGTCGTGAACACAGGTTGTTAGGAATGCTAGTCTTTATCGCTTTGACCGAGTTCGGTATTTCGTGTATATAGACAGTAATTTACTATCCAACGAAGTCACGTACACGTGACAGTGGTTATTAAAGCATTCGAAACGCGCAGCGACATCTTGAACCGATTCAAAGCATATTTAATCAGCTGATAAAGCGTGGTCGATCGCAGTAAACAACTTTCGACGATAAAGCTAAGATACCAAACCAGCGAACCAAGTTTTCGTGAAAGTCAGCATCTGCTTCATGCGAAAATCTAAGCGAAAACAGCGTTAAGAAACAACGATTCACCTTTCAAGATGCGGATGCCGAGATTTCGCAGTGGCTTTCCATGTGCTAGCACTAGTGGACGGAGGCAACACCATAATCTCACGAATATTCACGAACAACACAGCGCAAAGTAACAAAATTCCATCACCGAACCGAACGATCCTCGTTCGAAACAAACACAGAGATTCATTCGCGGCGATGACACTTTCCCGCTACGCGATAGTCATTTCCACGGTTCAGCGAACCACTGTTCCCTGTTTCGCGCCGCGACGTTTTCAAATCCGGAGCACGCAGCATCGATAAAACAGCGCCGACATCGATCGAGGATCCGGAAACCAACTTGAATCGGCCGTTACACCGCGATCCACGCAATCCCCGAGAAAATACACGAACCGGCCGGTCCATCAGCTGTTGACCTATCACCTTTCCTCGCGCCGGAAAACCGGGACGATCGGATAGCGAGTCTTCGCACCGATGCGCGTGACGTGTGTTGGTTTCGAAGCGGGACAATGGCGGAGGTACGTGTTGTACGACGGGCAACGTGCGCGCAGGGGCAGCCTCTTCGAGCCTGGATCATCCTAGACCCAACGGATCGGCTACTGGTAGCCGATTCTTCGAGCGAATCAGCACGGAAACAGAGATTTTCAACGGCGAAACGGGAAAACCGACGAAACGCCGTAGGACGCGAACAGTGGCAGTTTCCGGTGGGCACGAGTAACTGCGGCAACGTGCGCAATACGCGTTCGATCGATAATACAGGTTGCCGCGGAACGCAACGGGCCAATGGCGGCCGGGTCCGGCGCAGACGGACACGCGAGTAACACGTGGAAACGCGGAAACGCGGCCACGGGTTTAATATTATTCGACGATATAGCCGATGTTGTCGGCGGGAAACGCGTTACACGACTGCCGACTACTTTGCCACCCTCGTGGGCTCCCCTCGCTCCGCCGCCGGCCGCCCGCTACAGTCCACCCCATTTTTCCACCCCCTCGATTCATTTCGCCCCCAGACTCGTTCGTTCAACCCCAACCGTTCAAGAATATGCAGCGGCTGATGCTCCTTGCATCGCGTTATCGACACGCGACGGATCGTCGCAGGAATTCGGCAATTGTTACGGCATGGGAAGAACATTGCTGGGAACAATTCGAGGCTGCTATGTTTCTTTTGTTCCGAACGCAATGTGTAGGTGGGCTAGCTGGTGACTGGCAAATGACAATCGGAGGAGTTCTGTGTGATCGGCTTGTGGACAATAGGCAATTTATTGGATTTTAAGGATGGAGTTGTTACTTTTGGGTAGTCTGTGATCTAGAAGAGAAATGATAGGGAACTTTCCATCTTCTCGAGTTCATTGTTTTAGACGATGACGGCGTCACGCGTTCCACGCTTCGACTGATACAGTTGTTGCAATTCTTAGCGCCAAGACCCTTTCGTTTTATTAGAAAACTGAATCGTACTACAGAATTTGAAGGAATTAGTAAGGTGTCCTACAGCTTCTCGCGAATTCGATGGTAAAGGGATAAAATCTGTAGCAAACATTGAGGGAGCTATCGCTCTGACGAATCTTGACGTTCCAGTTCTTGATTTTATTAAGAAAACCGATTAGTTTGCATGAGACTCTAATGAGTGCTCATTCGGCAGTCGACGTGTTAAAGCCGACCCTCTATCGTGCTATTGTTGGACCCGGGGTGAAGCTTTAATGATCGCGTGCGGCTTAAAATAACATTACGTAACGATGTCGACGAGAAACGAACGGCTTTTTGAAGAAATTGCTTGATCGATCGTTGATTTCCGTCGATAGTTGTCTTGACGACAATTTTCTAGGATAAGTAGGTTGTTCCTCTGCGATATCAGGGTGTCTTAGGTTTTAATGGCACCCAGTGTTCTCTGAGGGTGCTACGAAGGAAATTGACTGAGAAAGGCATGCACGGATGTAATAATAGACAGCTGTAAGGGGTAAACCACAGAAACTGCGAAAGGGGTTGAACTGTGCATTGGAAAACTGTTCATGTATCTTAGACGCGTAGAAAATCATTGCGAATTGAAATTGTTCAACTTAAAATAGACATTTTTGAGGCTAAAGGTATTGGAATATTAATGAACATCAAAATATTCTCGAAATTTAATAAATATCAAAGCATTATAATAAAAGCTTATGACAACTAATAATAAACATCAAAACATTGCAATAAATATTAATTGTAATAAAATTACAATTTTTATTATAATGTTGATCTATATAAAAGTACATTAACATTACGTCAAAAATTGTTATATAATAAATTTCAGATCTTCCACTACCTTATCTTCTTCAATTTGATTAAAAGTTCTGCAATTGGCCACAGATGGCGCTGAACGCAGTTGTCTACGTTGCCCGTGTCGCCGTGGGCAACCGTAGAGGAGGAGGAGGTTAGGTTGTAGTAGGTTAAGTCTTTACTTGTCACCCATACTGATTTCAGTATTCTGATTTCGTATTGGGGGGCAATATAATATGAAACGTTCGCGAAAGCAGAGCAGAAATACAGATACTATGTCCTATTTGCGTGACTGGAGACAGGCGTTGCGTGCACCCCATGTGTATAGGGTTGCCAACAGCACCTTTCGCATTCAGAGCCAGTATTTGGCATTGATTTTCCTGTTGTTATCCATTCCTGTGTTTTTACTAGGATTCCCTTTGTTACGCGGCAGTCTGTACTCGTCGTCGTCGAATGAACTATTATCCCAGTGCCGTTATTACAAGTATAACAAAACATATCCCTTGACCGCACCACTCAGAACGTCAAAGGGTATCACCTACAGGATAGCTATCGTCAGTGACCTAGACCATGACTCCAAAGTTTCCGACAGGAAAAACACATGGTACAGCCTTATGAAAACTGGAAGTCTCTATTGGGATCCCAGCACCAATCTCATATCCATTGTTTGGGACGACAGGAATCATATGTTAACGTCGTCGTTGAGTATGAAAGAACGTGGTATGGAGTTATCCGAGTTGATCACTTTCGACGGACACTTGTTGTCTTTCGACGACCGTACTGGTGTAGTGTATTTCATTGACGGAGAAGAGGCTTTTCCTTGGATCATATTGATGGATGGCAATGGAAGGAATTCTAAGGGTAACTTCGATTTCTGTAGACTCGGTTACCATGCTTAATTTAATTGATGTTTCAAGCTGAAATCATTTGTAGGATTTAAATCCGAATGGGCGACTGTTAAGGATGAGAATTTATATGTTGGTAGTATAGGTAAAGAATGGACTACTGCTTCTGGAGAGTTTGAACACAGTAATCCTCTTTGGATAAAGGTGATATCTCCTCGAGGTGAAATTTCTTCGTTGAATTGGATCTCGAATTATAAACGATTGAGGCAAGCACTGCACATAGAATTTCCAGGTATACAACTACCATTTAACAGAATCTTAATAACTGCAAATATTGAAAATCATTTGTCGATATCCCAGGTTACATGATCCATGAATCAGGAGCTTGGAGCGACGTTCACAAAAGCTGGTTCTTCCTGCCTAGACGATGCTCCAAAAATCGTTACAACGAGACCACCGACGAAACGATGAGCTGTAACGTTTTACTAACGGCAGACGAAAATTTCGTGGACATCAAGGTTCATCCGAATTCCTGTTCTATTATCGCGATTTCAGAATACAACAATGTTATCGATGCGATGATTTTCAGGTGACGAAAGTCGGCAACTTGATTCCAATACGGGGCTTCTCGGCTTTCAAATTCCTGCCTGGTTCGCAAGACACGATCATCGTCGCGCTAAAAACGGAAGAGTATCAAGGACAAACCGCTACATACATTACTGCGTTTACGATCGAAGGTGTCACGATATTGCCAGAAACTAAGGTGACGAACAAGAAATTCGAGGGTCTAGAATTTATATAACATTCCATCTAGGAATATCGTTATTTCATTGACAAATAAGAACTGTAAATAATTGTATCAAGTTTCTAGCTGTATATTATTAAACAACGTGAAGGGAAACAACTGTGCAGGTGCAGTTCTTTCTAGTTGAACAGTATTGCCCATTTAACTAGATCAAAATAATGATTACACGAAACTTGTAAATATATATATATATACATAAACATTTTGCAAACGTATTTAATTGCATATACATATATGCATACATACAGATAGTAACTAAGGAAACATATTTTAAATAGGACACATCCAACGAAGATTGTTAAATGAACATTTGAAATTATGCATTCATTGAGCGTTGTATTGTCAGCAAGAGAATGTTTCAGTTAACCACTTCGTTCTCATTTCATCTCCTGTCTCTAAAATCCCTTCCACGGAAAATCACGATGCGATTTCAGGGACGTGAGTGATATATACGTATATAGTGTAAAATCAATAAAATATATACGTATATATATCCATGCATCTGAAAACCCGAGGTGGTGGCAGCAGCATTGCGTTACGCCGAAAGGATTTAGTCAATTCCTGGCTCCATACGAAGCAACCTCCGTTCGACGAATTCAAACCACCCCGACGTGTAACAACTTTTTTTTCCTTTAGTTACAATTACATTCATTTCAATCAAAGGCGACAACATGCAGTTCTCTTTGACAGTGAGTAAAAGGAACATTAAAAAAAACATTGGAACCACGTGATGTGCCAGCTGAAGTAAATTGAAATCCTTCGATTACTCGTTAAATTAACCGTTAAATGAGAAATATAAAAAGGAAGAATCTTCCATAGAAAGTCGATGTAAACAAGAGTTTCCAGTGGACGAAAGGTTCAAGATGTCCAATCAAGAATGATAAACAAAGTCAGTTCCTCCCAGAGTGAACCGAATTTATTTACTAATATTTAAACATCATCAGTCGTGCAACGTTCGTGCTGTGGTTTACATCCGTGAACAGTGGTCGCAGTTGGTGACGTCGTCAAGAATTTCCTAAGAACGTTTACCAGGACAATAATTAACGTTTCCTCGATCAACGACATTGCCTTCCCATTTTGCATAACAAAAAGCCACGAAAACGTCGCCGCTGGCTGAGCAAATCCACGATGATACCGCGAGACTTCAACACATCCGGCAGTGCTGCGTCGCGTGTCGTCGAAGACGCACTCGAAGAGCGTCGTTGCTAGTAAAGCTACCACGCAGTAATACTCATTAGTACTTTCGTCTAAAATCCATAAAAATATATCCAACACTCCAATTCGCTTGTATTCCAGCTCGGCTCCGTCTAAACTAATTTCTCCAGCTATTACTGGGAAAATCATCTGTGCCTTTCCGATCATTGCGAAAGAAGAAGGACATTTCGATCCATCTGGTAGGATCACTGAATTCCTCTAACCGAGAAGTAGTGTTCAATCAACAAAGTCATCGAAACCTGGTCACCTAGGGAAAGGGACGTTAGCAAGACTTTAATCGGAAACAACCTAATCTCATTGTCGGTGAGATGTCCGTCACCTGACGCACTCTCACGTGGCGGACACTGCGGTAGCCACCGTTCGAAACAGACATTGGTCATTCAGGAATCTTAGGTTAATAAACAACCGAGGGTTATCCGGATCATGGCTGGGAAATCGGAAGAGGTGCAAGAGTGGCGGATCGCCAGGGAAGGGATCTCTTTATTCCTGAACAATAAAACGGAGGAATCCAAGGCCCTGTTCAACAAATACCCTAACAGCTTCCACGTCCGAGCCGGCCGCTGCTTCGTTTCTTTCATGGTACGCAGACAATACACGTCCGATTCTGGTTTTACACGGTCTGTTTCGTTTCACGCGGTCACCGGAACTCGAGCCATTTACATTCGATAGTTTTTTTCAGAGACAGTCGACATTTTCGGAGACATAGGCGACGTTCTTTGATACTTTGACTGCCAAGGCAAACTGTCTCTGGTCCCAGAAGCCAATTTGATTCAATCATGTTATATTATTCTTAAAGTTTCTACGAGATAACTCGTAGTTGGCAGTCAACGTATTAAATGCTACGATTGATCTATTAGATTGCCGGCGAGTTTTGTTAATTGAAAGGCACGTGGAGTTTGAGCATTTTAAAAGATAGAGATAAATCTATACTTTAACCCTTCGCGGACGAATGTCGGCATTCTAGATGAAATTGTTGTATTTGGAAAACCAAGTCGCGAACAAATGATTGAATTAGTCAAACAAGAGATCAGCATGTTTCCTTCTTTTCCTGTTAATTAAGCAATTGGTGTATTATTTAGCTTAATCTGCTTCAGTTGATTTTTAAATATTTTTTTAAAGAAACTGTTCACTGATTAAAATATCAATCGAGTTATATTTTTATTTGTACATTAATAAATCAACTATTTTAATCATTCCTCGAGCAAGCATTCGTATGCTTTCAATAATTACGAAAGAAATGAGGAATGGGCCATTTTGACCCATTTGGTAGTTAGTTTGAGGGTTGAGAAACAAAGGTAGTTTATTTCAATACCAAATATATTGGTGTATCATTCGATGATTTGGGGTTGGGTACCGTTTGGGTTTCGCTGGAAAAGCATGGAGGGGTGGGAAACGGTACCAAGGTCGCAATAACCGCACCGGACGTTTTACGTACACTCGTGTATAGGTGCCCGCATGTATGTGTTCATGTGTTTCGCGTCACCTTGGGGCGCATCCTCTTTTTTTTTAGATGACCACAGCTCCGTTTTAGATAAAACATTAATGGAAAAAAGGCCGGCACGCATCGCGTGTCGCCGTAGGCGGCTTCAAGTATTGACCAAAGAGCTATTTAAACGTCTGTCCTGATGACGTCTTGGGGAATGTGGGACGTTTTAGTGTCGCGGATGATAGATTGAACTTGAAACCTGCTTCCCCTATGATATCAAGTCAGGCTCGCATTGGAATGTTGCTTCTTTCTCGTGTAATTGAAATGTTACTTGTCTATTGTCAATCTTTAATCTTTTGCTTTACTAAAACTAACTGTAACCTTTCTCATGTACAATTGAACTGGTTTAATTTCATTAGAAATTGTGTTTTACAAAAGTAAGGATGGTATTTGATGAATTGCAAAGAACTCGAGTTTAAGGCTTACTAAACGACAAAAACTTTAAAGAAAATAAAAGGCAATACGTTGCGAGGGAAAAGTGGATATCCTCGTTCGGTTGGCAAAGGGCCAACACGACTTTCATGTTTCTTATCTGATAATCGTTAAATCAGCCATTGTAACTTTGTTTAGTAGAACCCCGATTCAACTGGACCATAGATAATTTAAATGAATAGAGGCAAGGTACCATTTCATAATCCGAATTATTCGTTAGAAGCTAAGACTCTGGATGATTGATATCTAGGAAAATACCCAGTTAATCCTGGTTCTACTTTAATTGATCGTACAATATAACTGTTGCTGTATTTTCAGTTGAAACTGTTTCGAATCGGCGAATCGATGGTCTCTTTTCAGAACGCCTTAATGACATTCGAGGACGGCTACCTGGACGCAGCCATACAACTGCTGAAAAGCATGGAAAGGGAGTGCGCGATGGACATCGGATGGCTGAAGTCCGTGAAGAGCCAAGTCTTCAGAACAGAGGAGACCGAAGTAATTGTTCAGACTTCTATCGCGTGATTTGGCGCAAAGCTGTGTATACTAAAGATCATAATAAGTGGAAGATCGTGAAAAATCGAAGTCATTAAAAACAATGCTTTCTCTTTGAAACTGATGATCTTCAATTTTCCCTAATTCAGTGTTCTCTTTGAAACCGATGATCTTCAATCTTCCCTAATTCAGTGTTCAAGAGAACATTTCTTCACGCGACTCGCGCCATTATGATCTTCAGCAGAAGCTAATCACTTAGCTTATACCGTAACTCTTTCATCTTTCCTTTCCCCTGAGAAAAATTGTTCAGGACACGATGATTCCAGACGGACTACGTGAACAGACTGGAAAGGCAGATCGTTCTGGCAGACTCGAAATTCTGCAGAGCGATCCTAACTCTGCTGCAGCAAGAGTTGACCGGCTACGTGCGCGGCGGCTGGACGTTACGTAAAGCCTGGAAGGTTTATCAATATGCACATTCGCAGATCTGGCAGCTGTATCAACACACGTTCGGCAGGAAGCCTTCGGGTACGAGTGCGCTGGCAGTTGCAATCTTTATTTTTCTACGTAAACGTGTGATTCTACTTTGTCTCGCTTTGGTTTCTCATTGAAATAGATCCCAGCTGCGTCATTCTTTCATTTGATTGCGCGACACGAGAGATTTGTCAAAGTAAATTCCACAGTTAACAGGTGGAATAAAATGAAACTCTTCCGTAGGCGTTCACACGAGGTGCAGCACGCCTTCGTCCATCGATTCCTCGTACTCCCTGCACAGCCCGCACAGCCAGGGGTCATCGGAGTTGTCTATATCATCCTGCAACGATCTAGCCAATGGCACGCCGGTCTCCTCGCCTTCGAGCCTACGAAATTCGCTGTCCATGCTGTTCTCGCTCACCGGGATTACCGCCTGTGAGCAACAGACTCCGTAAATATCTTTTCATATAATTTCTTAGCTTCAACGTCAGCGAAACCTGTCGCTTGATCGTCCAAAATAACGATCATTCAAGGAACTTCCATAAAGGTTCAATCGATTAGAATTAAAGGCACCAGTAATTGATCTGACATCGTTGGTTGGCCATTTTTCAGAGAAATGTAAAATATTGGGTGTTCAATCATCAGAGATATAGTATCATAAAAGCTTCAGATATGTAGAATACATGTAATTTAATGACGTCTAGTGAAAACGAATGAAAATTCTCAGGTTCGTAGCGCCCACAGAAGTTTCCCGGCTGATGTCCGCCGTGAACTTCGGCTACGGGATTTACCAGCTGTGCGTCAGCTTGCTGCCGCCATCTTTGGTGAAGGTTAGCCATTTTCTCGGCTTCGAGGGCGACCGCGAGGCTAGCCTGGCCGCGCTGAAAAACGCGCGGCTCAGCGAGGATATGCGAGCTCCTCTCGCCACGTGAGTTTTCCTCATTAACACTTAGTCAACCGACCGAAGAAGCTATAATTACAAACTTTTCTATTAATTTTGACACGTTGACTGCGACGCCACTCTCCAGGGACTGGGAATTTAAGCGCTTAGCACAAGTTTGTTAACCCTTTGGGTAATATGCGAGTAAATCTCGGATTTTAATTAAACCTTGAGTTATTTTCTTTGAAAACAATGTCAGTGCGAATACAGTCAACGTGTCAGTCGAAGCAATTCAGCAAATTTCATTGAAAGTATTCGACAGAAGCAAGATTTGCCATAAATAACAGAAAGAACGGAACATTCGGTTGGCTAAGTGTCGAAAGCTTCTGAGAAACATTCTGAACGAAGAGACCAGAAGGTTCTCTGAAAGCCACGTACCTTTTGGTCAACTGTTCAACCGGAGGACGTCGAGATTCCGTCGAAGAGGACGCAGCAGACGACAGAGCTCGATCGTTCGAGTCGTCGTCGAATCACCGTTTCGTTTATTGCAGTTTATCCTTACTCTGGTACCATACAATCGTGCGTCCGTTTTTCGGTCTCGACGGGAATAATCTGCGGGCAGGCGTAAATGCTGCGAAACAATTGATAGCGGAGTGCCATCCGGAATTTAGCGATTCTGCGCTTTTCCTCTTCTTCGCCGGTCGAATCGAACGGCTCGAGGTAAAAATGCCTCTTGGAGTTTCTACAGAGCGATTTCAAAGAGTCCATTCAACTGCTTGGTAGTTCTAGCGTTAACTATTATATACACGGTGTCCCGTGGAACTGGGCGCAATCCTTGAAAGGATTAGGAATAGACGAACATTTATAAGACAAAATTGAATGCTTAAACTTTTATGCAGTTTTGCGCATCGCAGTTAGAAATTTTGTTCAAGAATCTCTAGTTTCGAATACATTAATCAATTGAATTTTCTATTCTCTACAAGATATATCGACGAAATTAAGTTCGAATATTATTAGCTTCCATTTAGCTTCATCTGCCGAAGGTTTCCTATAAGAATCTTCGTCGGCAAAGGGTTAAACGATGAAACGTAGGCTCTAAGCCATTCAGTCGATGATGATCGATGAAATTTTGCATGCCTAGTCGAACGTCCTCGGCGCTCTCGACGCTTACAAGAAAGCTGTCGAGGTCTCGAATCAAAGGGAGGTGAAGCTACTCTGTTTGCACGAGATGGCCTGGTGCTACCTGATCCGTTTCAACTACGACAAAGCTTATCCGTCGCTCTCGCGACTTTGCTACGAGTCCAGGTGGTCGAAGAGCTTCTACGCTTACCTGGGCGCTGGTATGTTCTGATTTTCAACTACCAATCGATTGGAAAATAACGTGACTCGTTGGTAGATCGGTTCATAACGTCAAGGATGATACACGTGACCATTATGTTCTTATCAAGTATTGATTAGATTATCAATCTTGTATACTAGATGGAAATAACACTCTAAATCGATGCATAGAACTATTTTATTTCAACGTCTAACGTATAGTTTACATTGAATTTTATAATTTTAATTATTTACAGAGTAAAATACAGTTTCTATTAGAAAAGAAATTAAACAAATTCAAAATCATGAAGCATTCGAAGTTGTATTCGCCATGTCGTTCACTTCTGACATTGTCTTCTTTCTCATTCGTTTCTTCAGTTTGCTGCGGCGCGATTGGCAACCTGAAAGATTTGGCGATGACCTATCAGAAGATACGTTACTTCGCGAAAGGCAAGAGCAGGGAAACACAGCTGGGCCTGTTCATCCAGAGACGAGCGCCGAAGCTCGTGGACCAAGAAACTGGGCAGCCTTACACCGTCCTGTATTACAGGCTGCTCGTGTACGAATTACTCTACCTGTGGAACGCCATGCCGTCCTGTACCTCGGAGTCCCTGCGAAGGGTGCTTTTAGGTAACAGAAATGCAATTAGCAAGAAGCATCGATCGCATACCGTGCGAGTAATAAATGATCGCGTGTTTCTATTATACTGCCCAACAAACTTGAACTTTTCTCGTGTTTTGTAATATTCATTAGGTGATCCTTAAACAAAATTTGATATTCGTTCAGATTTTGGAGATTAGAGGTTTAACATTAGGTTTACGGAACGCGTCAAATTGACGCATATTGGATTTTAGAAATATTATTTTGTAAATGTTTACGCCGATTTTGATTGATGCGATCACACTGACATGTACCCCAATTACCTACTATCAAATCTCCAGTTTCCACAATCTGAATAAACGAGCATCAATTGTTTTAGGAATAATAGAATGAAGTGTACAATAAATGCCCATAAATCCCCTAGTGTTAAAGATTAAACCATTAAAATACATTTGTGTAAATGCATCAGTCAAAATCAATAGAAACATTTGTTAAATCAGTAGAAATGTTTGTTTGTCAAGTAAACCTAGTGCTAATATTATATATGAGCTTATAGTTTCACTATATCAAATCTACTATCACTATAAAAAACTGTTTCTCTTATTTCGTTATTAACTTCGAGTAATTCAGGACACTACCAATCTCCAGCAACGCCAAATTTGTAACAATGATGTTTTTCTTTAGAATGCAAGGGTAATCGATCCGAGGAACCAATGGTCGGCATTGCGGATTTGATCGAAGGTGCTGCTTACTCTTACCTCGGGGACAGGGAAGCTTCGATCGAGAGTTACAGGAATTGCCTAAGACGACGCGGTCCGTCCAGTGATCCCATTGATCAACATATTAGCGCGTTCGCGTTGTACGAACTTGGCAGTGCGCTTTGTTTCACGAACGTAAGTAATGGAGGAATGCTGAGGAGTAATAAATAAGGGATCAATGAATAGTAAATAGATAATAGATAATAGATAAGTATTGTGCGACGCGGAAGGTACCTCAGGTACACTCGAACCGTTTATGACCTGGATATTTGGGACTCGGATGATTCGCGGGCAGTCGATGATGACCTGCAGAACCGTGTTGATGGGATTAGTATTTAATAACATTGAAAGACTGGTGGGGCACAGTGTAGTTTTGAGAGTCGAGAGGAGCAGGACAGAGTAGACCAGCGTTGAACAGTGTAGTATTGCGTAGAATGGATTAACCCCTTGATTTTAAACAGAATTGAACAAACATGAACATTACTCGATTAAATCTGAATTACTTCGAATTCAAATTTAACCCTTTGCACTCGGGAAGTGACTCTCTCAGTCACCACTTGGTTCGATACAGTAAAATTATAAAGTTTGATGTTTAACACTAAACTTTGTATAACGCGTCACTATTTGAAATATCAAAGTAAAGTAGTTTCGTCCTTTAATTTATCGATTAAATTATTTACATTAGTCGCAACAAGCATCGTCTGTATTTTATCAAAGAGTGTTGAATGTTTCTAGTGAAAAACTTTCGAGTGCAAAGGGTTAATATTATTCTTCTATTATAAATTACTATATTTTGGAGCAAGGATTCATATGGAATATGCGTTTGAATCTGTCCTTTGTCTTAATAAATTAATTACAGAGTAATTGTATCGATCATAGTTGAGAAATCAATCGCAAGGGGTTAAGGTACACAGTTTAGTTTCATTCTGGTCCAGCTATATTCCATTTAAATAAAAGTAGATCTTTGAGAAATGTATATTTAATATTTAAACAAGTGTTTGTGATATTTGTCTTCAATCCTGTTTCAGAATATCGAAGAGGGAAGGACGACACTCTTAAAGGCCCTGACCGAATACACGGACTACGATTTCGAGAGCCGGCTCAGTGTACGAATACGCAGCACCCTGAGAAGATTCAACGACTACGAGTAGAGACCTCGAAATCCATCAAAATTACTTCGTGTACATAGCGTCGTTGCTAACTTTACGTCTTTTGTCGCGAAGAAACGTCTCTGTCACTTCAACAAACCTGACTCGACTATACGTACTGATATCCGGACAGAACAGACGTCTGTTAACACGTTCCGCGCCACGCCATGCACCATTTCTGGTAATTTTTGTAAAGGAATAGTACACGTCGCGACACAAGAAAAACGAAAAGAAATAATATGAAAATATCTGATAAGTCAGCGAAAGCTTGAATACAACTTAATCTATCATTGAAAAATTCAGTGCACTTTATAAGCAAGATATAACAAATTCCGAGTGGCACGGAGTGTGTTAAATAATGTCATGGAAAAGAAAATGAAAGATTCCTTTTCAATTTTTCATTAAGTCCGAAGGAACAAAGTATATTTTGCCACTTAGTACTTGTTACGAATCACATAGACAATCCCAGATTGGACATAAGAATCACCCTGTATACAGGCCGTTTAAAATAAGTGGGAAGTTTTGAAGGATTCATCCTATACGTAAAGTAACGAGGGACAACTCGCGTATACGTAAATAGTTATTACTGACGTTACTATTATCATTGCTGTTATATACAGTTGGTCCTTTGAAAGTGTCCACAGTGTTAAAAACACCGGTACAAGCGCAACGTGATCGATGTACGTCCTACATTCCGTCGACGCGATTCAATCGGACAGATTAATTTTTCTAATGTACAAAAACTGGAAGGAAACGTGTAAGCCGTTTTTTTTAAAAGTGGTATAAGTCCGTTTTGGGGAAAAAATGAGTTACTGGTAGTTTCAGCGAGATATAGATCATCCTTTTATATTTCTAATCACGCAATCAGTGACGTACGATATTCTCGTAAATTAATCAAAAGTTCAACTATAAAATGTCATCGCAAAAATGTTTTATTAAAAGATCGTTTATTTTCTTTAACAATTTTATCAATTATCGCATAATAACATTTGACATATTATGCTTTTATACACATTACCGGAATTGATTAACGTTCGTTTTTAAGAACTTAATGGACGTGTACCATTTTTAAGAAACGACTCCTATAGAAAATCGTGAACAGTTAAGTCACGTTTAACTGTACGAAAAACAAGGGACAATTGATTGTACTATACAATGTAAAAGTCCGTGATTTATGACTTCTGCAGGAAGGTGCCGATAGAAGCAAAAGTTGTCCATGCGATGCACAAATTATTTTCTTCGCGAGTACCGTTTCGCTCGGGATCGTTCATGGGAAAAGCGTCAGACCCTTCCAATTCTTGTTTCTAACGGATCGTCCTGTACAACTCGTCCGCCTGTACACCTCTATATATAATTGCTCATGTATCGAAGTACTCGCATAGACAGAAAATATACTTCAGTACGTTAATAATAACGAAGCGTAGTGTTTACACGCCGAATTCCACCTATAGCTGAATCAATGGCTTTAATCATTGCTCCGAGAAACATCTGTTGTCCTTTTAATACTCGCAAAATGAAGGAATCAGTAATAGGTCATTTTCAATTGCTTTCCTCGAGACCTCGGATCAGTTGGTTGCCAGACGTTCAGGCAACCGGGTCACTCGAGTCAACAAGGGTCGCAGGTACGTAACATATTTGATAAAAGGTTTCAAAATATTAATCTGAATTTATTGGCAAAATTATTATAAACGGTTGTCTTTAAGAAAGGGTAATACTAATGAACAAATAATTTTATAAATGAATATACGGTTGGATATTCAGGGCAACACTAAAGAACAAATTGATATATTGAATGTACAGTGTGATTCGCATTACAAGTGATTTCTAAAAATGGTAAAAATGGTAATCCATACGTTTTTACTCTTCCATTGCCATTCTACGTATAAAGACAATTTACATTTAACGAAATACCGCTACGGAAAGAAACGTGACTCGCGAACGTGTTAACTTCTCCCAAAATTGGCAGAGACATCCTAAATCCCGCTCGACGCGAGTCCCAAATCCGATTCGAGGCTCATTAAGCTAGAAGTTAGCCGCGCGACGTGAGTCTATCGAGCAACCTAACAAAACCTCGACGAAATTCGTCGGAACTGAGAGGAGAGACTGAAAGCAACGGGAAAAAGGAAAAGTTCAGTATCCGGGACGGTGGTCTAAATAATCAGAGCTGTGATTATGAGGACGATCCGATGAGCGTTCGAAACACGTACTGCTGCGCCAACGGAGGAACCTGTCCAGCCGCTATACTAAATTCCTCTGGTCAGCCAGCTTGGTACTGTAAACTCGTCAAACCGTTTGTATTTTGCGTGATTACGTCGTTATTAGGTACGTCTCACTCGTGATTAACAATTAAGTCAATGTAGAACAGCGTAAAATGAGATCTGCCCCTTGATTTCGTCGATTAACCCCTTAACGAATTAGCTGGCCTTTAGAATTCCATGTCGAAAAATGTCCCTCCTAGTTTCTTGACTTTCTGTCGTTTATTATTTGTTGATGGACGTTCGTAATGCTGAGAAACGAATCGTACACTAAAACTACCGAGCAGTTAAGTCGACTTTTTGAAATCTCTATAGAAATCAGTTTTCGCTGAATGAATTTTTTGAATAATTTCTCGGAGAAACGTCTGTGTCTTCTGAATAATTGCAAAATGAAGGCAGGAGTAGGTGATTTCGATTTGTCTGGTAGTTTTAGTGTTTCAATAGGAAGTTAATGTTAACTTGGGCTATTTTAAAAACGAACTGGGAAACTTCAGCCATGTCCGTGTCCCATCTGTGCGACAAGTACTCCGCCAACAGCAGCTTCAAAGTGATCAGATCGGATCTAGTGGACCTGAGGACTCATTTGAATACACTATCGGTAATTAACCATCAGCTTCCGAAAGATTGTGTTATTATTTTCAACGTGACGAAATATGGACGATATTCTTTGGAAGTAACTTAACCCTTTGCGGACGAAGATCCTTTGAAATGTACCAAACCTTCAACAGATGAAGCTAAATTATATATCAATTGTATAATTGATAGAACAAAAGGAAACTGCGTGCTGATCTCTTGCTATTCGAGTAATTAAATCACTTTTTTGTCACTAGTCTTCGAAATATGAAAACTTCATCTCGCCGGAATGTCGACATTCGTCCGCAAAGGGTTAATGGGGAATTATTCGTAGATTAAGGAAGGAATAAAGGTATCGTTGGGAATAAAAATAAGAATATCATTTCTTTAAATTCAGTGAAATTTATTTTAACTAGGGAAGAACGGAAAAATTGAGGGCAATATGATTGTTTATTAATGTACTGTGTCTCATGATACGCGAGACTTTATTTTGCTAAATCGATTTGCATCTACCAAATTGTATCTTCGAGTGATCTCCAGATGGAAGTGCAGAACGTGTTGGAAACGCGAGACGACCTGAGGAGCAAACTGAAAGAGGTTAGCCACGCGATCCCGAAAATATCGGAGGCCATTTTGTACTTGAGGAACGAGGTGTCTGAAGGTGCGAGCCTTCGAAATCAAAAACAAACGTTTGTAACAGCTAACGTTAGACTTACGAACGGTTATTCTACACTGTATTCTACAGGTTTCAGACAACTACGTGTTTAGTTGTATATTATTTATATAAAATAAATAAGTAGATTATTATAGGATTAACAATTCGGATTATTTATTATTCCTTTGCTCTCTACTAGAGACTTATTTATTTTATATAATAAATAAGTATATTATTATATACTATTATATACTAATGTATAAGTATATTAAATAAGTATATTATTTATATAAAATAAATAAGTCTCTAGTAGAGAACAAAGGAATAATAAATAATCGGAATTGTTCACGCGATAAATTCTAATCAATTCTGGAACAGGAATGGACACGCACACGAAAGCGTTGCTAAAGGCCATGTCGCCGGAAACGGTGAAAGACTTGGTGAGGACCGAACTGCAGACGTACGACGCCGACAAAACTGGCAGAACGGATTACGCTCTTGAGAGTTCAGGTGAAACTTCGGTACAAGCACTTTCTGGGACACTCCCATAAATAACGGGGTTCTTAACCAGTTAACTGCGTTCGAGTATACGCGTCATCTTGAAACGCAAAATGGTACTGATTTTTTCAACGGTAAATTATTAATTTTTTCAGCTAAATGTTTGCCTTAGTTTCTCGTTAGAATATGTTATAGATGCATTTGCTCTGCGTTTGTCGAGTATACACTTTATTTGATTTTATGGCGCGCATGATGATTTTTTAAACTAAATTCCACAGTTAACTGGTTAAATGTCGTTCGTTCTTCAAACTAAGGACGAATAAAGTAATCTAAAACACATTCTTCTTCGTTACTTATAAAACACGTATCTACACATTGCAATTATATGAACAAACACGCGTTCACCCTTATTTTCAAAACGAAATTCAACACGAAAAGCCGTGTTATTTACGGCACAGCCCAATAATGTCTGTCACGAGTGATTCGAAACTAATCTACATTTCTTCGATCGGATGGAACAGGGGGTACCATCCTCTCTACGAGAAACACGGAAACGTACTCGGCTGGTGCTCCGGTGTTGAAACTCTTCGGAATCCCGCTTTGCCAGCAACAGAACACACCGCAGACTATAATTCAGGTTGCCAGATGCAATTGTTCACTGTAGATTCATCCGTTGATTCTAAAAACAGCGTTTCGTCTGCTAGAATTTTAATTTGTATTCCAAACTAACGGTACCGGATTCAAAATTCTGCGTTTCCTTTTGTTCATTACATTTTTTATCAATTTCTGTATTGTCCGAGTAATTGGTTCTTAAATTTCCATTGATCATTTCGAAGAATTGAGCATTTAATTTTTGGAATTACGTTGAAAATTCTCTTCATCGGTCTGACACGATAGTGTAGAGGTCAAGGGGTTAATGTAGAATGATTCTTGCAAAGACTGGCGTTCTTCCGGGCGAATGTTGGGCGTTCAAAGGCAGCGCCGGCAGCGTTGTCATACAGTTACTCGGCTCCGTGTATGTTTCTGGAGTCAGTCTGGAACACATCCCGGAATCCATATCACCCACAGGAGAAACGAGCACTGCTCCGAGGAATTTCTCGCTTTGGGTAAACCCTGTTCACCTTGTAATCGTCGTCTCATGAGCTTCTTCTGACTCTACGAACTAGACCGCCATTTTTACGCGGCGCAACGGAGAACCGCCATTGCGCCGCTGCCGCTCGAACGGTTAACATTATATTCAACACTTCCCACTTTTGTTATATCGAATCAAATGAGAGTCACCTCTCGAGTGCAAAGGGTTAAATTCCCCGGAAATTGGTAATTTGACAAATTACCAATTTATTATAAATTACCAATTTATACCGATTCCAAGGAATAATAGCTTTCGAGTATTATTGCAACGTTGAAATTAATGCATTGCAGAAGATTAGACGACAGATATATTGTAGATGCTAATAATTAATGACAAACTCGATTGTTTATTATGAAACTTAGGGACTGGATTGCGTGGACGACACACACCCCTTCTGCTTCGGCGAGTTCGCGTACGATAACACTGGACACACTTTACAATACTTCGAGATCGAGGTAAATTAGGGCTGTTTTCAGTAATAATCTCGCAGTTTCGATTGTTCTACGAGACATAAGTGATCTAATAGTATATTTACAAGTCGAACTGCCCGTGATTTATAGAAGGAACCGAGGAAGCCGTACGAAATAGTCGAACTAAAGGTTCATTCGAATAGCGGTAACGAGGAATACACCTGCATCTATCGGATACGAGTCCACGGCACATTAAATCGGAAGAACAGATAGCTTCGAGGCAATTATGGAACACGGTGGTCGAGCAGAAGAAGCAATTTCGCGTCCACGTAGCGTAGAATTGATAGTATAATATACATTTCGATAGGATTTTCGTACGTACGTATTATGTATCATCGTGTAGCGAATAAAGAACTATTTTGGATTATTTATTAACTAACTTAATTAGCGTAACATAGGAATTAACACTAGACTTACGGAACCAGTCAATTTCAGTCATATTGAATTTTGTAAACATTGGTAAACGGTTGAGTCGATTTTCATTGACTCAATTACATGAGTCTTTAATAAATTTTTAAACATTTGGTTCCCCAGATCTAAACGGAAAATTGTATAATAAATGTAAATCTAGTGTTAATTAATTAAGTATCCATTAAGCACAGATACTATCGAATATTCAGTTGATAGTGATTTTCAGTCTGTTCTCGTATCGATCTGCGATTATGAATAAGTTTGTCGTTATCCTTGTCTCATAAGCTTTAATTTGAGCCGTCGAACGTCAGAATTGGTCCACGGGAAGCTATAGAATTGTTAATGCAAAGGTAAGGGGGCATTATGCATGTGTAAAGAGGGCTGCAGTTTGACAGGGGCGAAAATTGGAGTGACAAACACTAGCGCCATCTAGCGGACGGGCGTTTTCGAAACTTCTCTCTATACCTGTAATGTATAAGACAAGGACAAAGCTAGTGTGCGACAAGGAAAGAGATAGTCTCTCTCGCGCCACCTCCTTGGAAGAAGCATCTCATCAGTCCCTGGTGCGTACGCGTGAAGCATCAGGACCAAGGAGGTCGCAGGATAACAATTATAGTGGCGCCATCTAGCGGTGGAAGCTGTGAACTAAAAGCGACATGTCAGTGGGGAGAAAACGCGAAATAGCAGCGAATTCATTAATAACTCGATTATCACGAATCATTTACGAACGTTTGCAATTTGGGATCATAGAATAGACTCTCCCCTACTCTCACGTGTAGCTTTGGATAGGATTTTGTGCCGCGTTGATTATTTATTAATTATTCTTTGAGGCAATATCCCAAGTTAACTTAGAATTTTTTCGACAGGTGCTAAGTAAATAATTCAGTTTCTCAATTAATGGGCATTATGGGCATAAACGGAAATAGTATATGACCAATAGAGTAACCCTGTGTTAAAGTGGAGTTCTTCAGCTTTAATTTGGCGTGCCGGAAGTTGAAATATCTTCACGAGTTCGACCTTGGCGAAGAGGACTACCAGAAGAGTTACTTCTGCAATTGTGAACGCTACCTTTATTTCTTTATATATTATAATTGATAACAAGTGTGACTATTTGTTAAGTTTATTACCATAAAGCGGATTACCAGAATGTTACTTTTGCAATTGTGAACGCTACCTTTATTTCTTTATATATTGTAATTGATAATGACTATTTGTTAAGTTTATTACTGTATCAACGAATAAGATTAAATAAATGAACATTTTACGATGACTTGTCTATTTTATTCCATGCTACCTATACTTCTCCATCGTTAATTACATTTTGTACTTAATTTTAAAGTTAATTGGAACTTAGGTACATTTATAACACGACCACTTCTTCAACGAGAAATTGAGGAGACAGAAATGATTCGCTTGAAAATTGGCGCCGCGAAATTGTTTTCGGATACCTCTTTGAATATCATGTTCTCCTAGTAAGAAACTCGGATTTTCGGATTCCGCTTCAAATTTCGCGCCTCTAGAATGTTTACATTTTTCGGATACCTCCTTTAGTATCATGTTCTCCTAGTAAGAAACTTGGATTTTCGGGTTCCGCTTCAAATTTCGCGCCTCTGGAAG